GGCACCTACTACTATTGATTTTAGGCTTCATTTCTCTGTGCCTTGGATTCCCTATCTGTAAAAGGTAGATAACAATAGCACTGAATTCACTGAGTTGTAGTGAGGATTAAGCAAGCTAATATATGTGAAGTACTCGGCTTAGCTCAAAAGGTGACTGAAACATGGTCGGCGCTCAGTAAAGATGAGCTATCATTAGTATTATTGTTACTGTCAGGAAAGTGAAATACGGACTTTAAGTACAAGCAAAAGCAAAAATAAAAACTTAGTACCTTGTGATGGTTGTGATCTACTAACCCTCCAATCACATAGGCCTTTGATTCGTCTAACTCCTTCAGCACATTAGGTGAATCTGATGTAAGATAAACCAGGTCTTCTTTTTTCACGAGTTCACTATAGTGCTCTGGTTGGATGTGGATATCCTTTAAGACACAAGGTGAAAGATGTCACTAATTAATAGCAGTTTGTGAAAGATGGCTAAAAATGATTTATCCCCTTTCCCCAAAACGAACCTATCCAAAAACATCTGAAATAAAGTTTAAAAGTTTCAAAATGTATTATTTAGAACTTACTACTTCAATTCCTTATAAACTTACACTTTGGTCATTTAAGTAGCCTCTTAATTTTATTTCCCTGTTGCTGGCCTCAGACCTTTCCAATCTACTTTGACGCTGATGGCGGGCTCATTTTCTAAAAACACTACTTTCAATGTTTTATCTTTCTCTGTAGGATAAAATCCAAACTCCTTAATTTCGAGACTCTTTCCTAAACATGGCACTAACCTACCTTTCCAACTTTATCTTTCTTCCAACAAAACAAATGCCTTTTTACTGCCACATATTTGCTCACATTGTTCTCCAGCCAAAGAATGCCTTCTCCAATTACTTCCTCTCCATCTACATGAATCATCAAAAGGAAATTGCTTACAGATTTAATTAATTCCATGCATCTGTTTCTACAAAGATACACATTGGAAAATTTCTTTGCCAAAACTGTCAGGTCAAAGGTACAAAATTGAACAACAGTTGGTAGTCAGGATTTTGCAAACCATATTCGTTGCATAAAAGAAAATGGATCACCGGGCTCAGATGACATTTACCCAATAATTTTTAAGGAAATCAAGAATGAAGCAGAAAAACTCTCACCTAAAATGTATAACTTATTGATTAATAAACAG